CATCAAGCTTGATCTTAGTCGCATGCCGAGTCAAGGACTTGACCTGATCATCGACGGAGGCATATGTGTTGACGGTAGGTTTCTGGGTGTTCGTCTTCGGGTAGGTCCATTTGGGCGCATTAGGGTCTGCAGCAAGCTCGTTCACTTTTCGTTGACGGTTGTAAGCTTTGGTGAGATCCGCAGTATTCGATGAACTAAAGTCCTCCTCGTCCAATTCCTCCTCGAAGATATCGTCGTAGTATTCGTCCTCTTCCTCCTCGATTTCCTGCGCCTCGGGGTCTTGCCCCGCCATAGCGGGGACTGTGCCTTCAGAGTTCACATATCCTCTGTTGGGGACATATGTGTGGGAAGGTGACAGTCCATCTGCGAGGCCGGTCTGTACATTCGGATCTTGAGTAGACATGACTGCTAGAATATCCTCCCTCGTATGTATTGAGAATATTCAAGCAATAATGTGTTGGGACCCGTGGTACAACTCTGCGGCCGACACTCTTTTTTTTTTCTGCCTCAAATGATTAGGTGCGAACCATGTGTTGACTTCACCGCCCGGCAGAAACCCCGCGGGCGAAAACGCGTAGCTTCAGTGGATGGCTGATTGGGCCACGCGTGTTTCGATGGTTCTCACCATTGCAAGTGGAAGATCAGCTTCACAGTCTGTTCCTTGTCTCCCATCAAAGGTAAACCCTGACGATCACAGACAGAGCTTCGGCGTCTTGTTTGAAATCGCTGGCTGCGTGATGTTCTGGTTGCAATAGCTGTCATTTGATTATCGCGTCGCGCGCCCCGAAGATGTATGTCAAGCAGATTATCATTCAGGGCTTCAAAAGGTATGTCGGTCTCTTTGAACAAACCCTAAGGGAAATTTAGGGAGTTGCGACTAAGTCTTATATGTCTCTAGCTACAAGGACCAGACGGTCATCGAGCCCTTCTCTCCAAAACACAATGTGATCGTCGGTCGCAATGGTTCCGGCAAGAGTAACTTCTTTGCAGCCATTCGCTTCGTCCTGAGCGATGCCTATACCCATCTTGGCAGGGAGGAGCGACAGGCTCTGCTTCATGTATGTAGCGCTCTACCTCCTTAGCCTGTTTCCCTGGCTCACGTTCATCAGGAAGGTTCTGGTTCTGCGGTGATGTCCGCCTATGTTGAGATCATTTTCGACAACTCCGACGACAGATTCCCTACTGGAAAACCGGAAGTGGTCCTCCGCCGAACCATTGGACTCAAAAAGGACGAATACACTCTTGATCGCAAAAATGCTACCAAATCCGACGTCATGAACCTCCTCGAATCGGCCGGTTTCTCGCGATCGAATCCTTACTATATTGTGCCGCAAGGTCGAGTCACTGCGCTGACCAACATGAAGGATTCTGAACGTTTAAACTTGCTAAAAGAGGTCGCTGGTACCCAGGTCTACGAAGCGCGCCGTGCGGAATCGTTGAAAATCATGCATGAGACGAACAATAAGAAGGCCAAGATTGATGAACTCTTGGACTTTATCAACGAGCGGCTCGCTGAACTTGAGGAGGAAAAAGATGAGTTGCGCAATTTCCAAGAAAAGGATAAGGAACGCCGGTGCTTGGAATACACCATCTACTCTCGTGAGCAGCAAGAAATTTCTGGCATCCTTGACAATCTAGAGGAACAAAGACAAACCGGCGTGGAGGACACAGATCTTAACCGAGACAGATTCATCGAAGGAGAGAAGGGGATGGCGCAAATAGATGCAGAAATTGCTGAGTGCAAGCAGCAAATTGAATTTCTGAAAGTGGACAAGTCACAGCTTGAAGACGAGCGCCGCGAGGCCTCGAAGACCCTTGCACAGGTGGAATTGCGCGCCAAATCGCTTTCCGAGAACCAGGCTACCTCTCAGGCGCTCAAAGCACGGCATGACGAAGATCTCAAGACCGTCGAAACTGCGATCAAGGAGCGTGAGGCTGAACTTGAGGAACTCATTCCTCGCTTCAACGCAGTCAAAGACCAGGAAGACAACATCAAGGCGCAGCTCAATGAAGCCGAGACAACCCGCCAACGTCTGTATGCCAAGCAGGGCCGCAACTCGCGCTTCAGGAATAAGTCGGAGCGTGATAAATGGCTACAGGCGGAGATCAAGGAAAACCACACCTCTATCTCTACAGTACAGACCGTGATGGCGCAGACTCAGGAGGACATCAAAGAGCTTGAGAACGACATTGCACTCCTGGAACCGGAAACGGAACGCTTGCGCCAACAGATTGATGGCAGGGGAGACACCGTCCATTCTGTAGAACAACAGGTTCAAGCTGCAAAGGACGAAAGGGACCGGTTGATGGACCAGAGGAAGTAGGTTCACTTTTCGTTTCACCCTTTTCTTCTATTTTAATTTCATTTGAACCTGAATGAACGAGCTCAATGTCGCTAACTATTCTCAAGAGAGCTCTGGCGAGAAGAAGCGAAGCTTGACTCGATTCTTGCCAACGCTTCAAACGAAATGGACCGGGCAGAACGCACTCTTTCTCAGATGATGGACCACAATACAAGTCGCGGAATTGCGGCTGTGCGAAGAATTAAGCGTCAACACAACCTTGAAGGAGTTTATGGAACATTGGCCGAACTCTTCGAGGTGAATGACAGATATCGGACTGCGGTTGAAGTCACAGCTGGTCAGAGTCTGTTCCATTACATCGTGGACACGGACGAGACTGCAACCAAGGTGCTGGAAATACTGCAGCAAGAGAAAGCTGGACGAGTGACTTTTATGCCCCTAAACAGACTCAGATCCAAGCCCGCCAACCTGCCCCGAGCGAGCGATACAATTCCAATGATAGACAAGCTACAATATGATCCTGCCTACGAGAAGGCTTTCAACCATGTGTTTGGCAAGACGATCATTTGCCCAAACCTTCAGGTTGCCTCTCAATATGCTCGAAGCCATGGTGTCAATGCGATTACGCCCGAGGGTGATCGGTCTGATAAGCGAGGTGCGCTTACTGGTGGTTTCCACGACTCTCGGCAATCTCGACTTGACGCAGTGAAAAACCTGACGAAATGGCGGGATGAATATGAGAACAAGAAGAACCGAGGGACAGAGATTCGGAAGGAGCTGGAGAAGTTGGACCAGGTCATCACGAAGGCTGTCGGTGAATTGCAGAAGCTGGAGCAACAGAGACATCAGGTACAGCATAGTAGTGGGCCGCTTCGGCAAGAGCTCAGAAGCAAACGGGATCTTCTCCAGAAGAAGAACGATAGTCTCGACGCCAAGCGCAAGGCTCTCCGCAATATCGAGACCAATTTGGCCGCGTTGCACGATCAAGTGAATGCATTCGAGGCGGAGCTGAAATCACCGTTCCAGAAGGCGCTGAGCAATGAGGAAGAGGCACAGCTCGAGTCACTTAGTGTCGTTGCTCAGGATCTTCGGCGGCAATATCAGGAAGTCTCTGCTCAGCGAAGCGAGTTGGAGGCTCGAAAGTCGATCCTTGAAGTCGAACTCCGGGAGAACTTGAACCCCCGCCTCGACCAGCTTGTCAGCCGCGATACTGATATAGCAGATGATGACGGCCAGGGCAATCTGAAGGAGACCGAGCGGGAGATGAAGCGACTGCGCAAATCGTTGGAGAATCTGAGCCAACGGCTCCAGAAGGTGGATGAATCTATCGAGAAAGCAAACAGTCAAGCAAATGAGCTCGAGAAACAAAAGGCCGAAATCCGTCATGAACTGGAAGATCTGGCGAGATCCATTGAAAAGCACCAGCGTCGCATGGAAAAGAATATGCAGAAAAAGGCTGCCTTGACCAAGCAAGCAGCAGAATGTGCGGCGAATATCCGCGACCTGGGCGTGCTTCCAGACGAAGCGTTTACCAAGTACAAGCACACCGACTCGAACACCGTTGTTAAGAAGTTGCACAAAGTCAATGAGGCGCTCAAGAAGTATTCGCATGTCAACAAGAAAGCGTTTGAGCAGTACAATAGTTTCACCAAGCAGCGCGAAACCCTAACCAATCGGAGAGAGGAACTCGAAGCATCACAGAAGTCAATTGAGGAACTCATCTCAGTGCTTGACCAGCGCAAGGACGAGGCCATTGAGCGCACGTTCAAGCAAGTCTCTCGTGAATTTGCCAACATCTTCGAGAAGCTTGTCCCCGCTGGCCGTGGGCGCTTGATCATTCAGCGGAAGACCGACCGCGCTCTCCGGCAGGAGGATGACATGGATTCTGACGACGAGCGAGCTCAGCAGAGTGTCGAAAATTACGTCGGAGTAGGTATTAGTGTGAGCTTCAATAGTAAGCATGATGAACAACAGCGGATTCAGCAACTTAGTGGTGGCCAAAAGAGTAAGGGCTTTCCTCCTCGGGCGTTCCGTTCGACTTACTGATGATTTTGAATAGGTCTTTGCGCGCTTGCACTGGTATTCGCAATCCAAGCCTGTGACCCGGCGCCGTTTTACCTGTTTGACGAGATCGATGCCAACCTTGACGCTCAGTACCGAACCGCCGTTGCTCAGATGCTCCAGTCCATCTCGGAATCTACCAACGGACAGTTCATTTGCACCACCTTCCGTCCTGAGATGTTGCATGTGGCGGAGAAATGCTACGGAGTCAGCTTCCGGCAGAAGGCTAGTACGATCGACGTTGTATCTAGAGAAGAGGCGCTCAAGTTCGTCGAGGAGCAGAAGACTTGAGAGTTGCGCACTTGGAAGGCGATCGATGACTGAACTTGTTGCACGAGTTTCTTCTACTCACTTGCTGGATTGGACAGGATAGCAGGCGTACTATTGATAACATTTCTGCTATGGAGATCAGATTATATCCCTCTTTTCGTTTGCGGTATCGGGTTGCTTTCCTTTGTCGGATATCTGTCTATATGTACTCTAAATTTGACCTACTTCCTCTACTTTCAGCCCTACGATCAGCACGGAATCGCGGAGATATTTCATCAAGTCGAAAATCTATTCATTAGCATCGTAACCTCTAGATCGGAAATATGGCCTGTGTCAGTCTATATGCATAGAGCTCCATATAAACTCCTAATTGGGAACCCCAGCGCGAGGCGATTCCTGCGTCCACTCGAAGAGGATGCTCTCAGGCACATCCCTGACAAGAACATGGATATGTTCCAGACTTCTCACACTCTGCAATGCCGTCCAATTCTTGAACCACAGCACATGATCCTTAGGGTTGGAATACCGCTCATTCTCCCTCGCCAGTCGCGCCACAAACGTCCTCTGTACAAACTCCTCGATCAGCGCGCGCGACTCATCTGTCAAGTCTCCACCGTGTTCCTGGACAGGCACAGGCGTGCGCAGCCACACGCACAAGTGCGCAATACCCGGGGCAAGACCGTAGGGCCAGTCGTTGCGGAGGATCTTGTAGTCCGAGGGATCGGCAAATGGGATCGGGGATTTGAAGGGGAAGACCGGCTCGCTGTCCGCCACGGCGGTGCCGTTGGTGTCACTGGGGCCAGCGGGTTCTGGTAAATGCCAGCCCAGACGACGCTTGCAAATGAAATTTGTGATGGAGCCGTATTGGGCTTTGGTGTCTTTGGACCAGGAGAGGTATCGGACTAGATCGGATGGTTTCCGCTTCAGAGCGCCGAGATCATTTCGTGCTGTGTGCGGGGAAATGGCGAGCCATCAATAGGTACTCCCGTTATGTGTTGATGATGCGGAACTGGAAGTGGGTGGTTGAGGAATTGGAGAGGAGGAATGAGGGGGAGGGGAACTCGATGGGGTAGTCCCCATCACTCGCTGATCTATCTATCTACTAGGATCTGGATCTCATACCGATGATATCTTTGAGGTTGTCCCAGTCGTGGAGGATGAATTGTTCGTCTGTCATGGCCAAGACCTCCCGGTCGGTGTCGGTGAGGTTGAAGGCAGGAGGTTGAGGCGTTGTAGCCATTATCGTTTTGGAAGAGATGGTTTCTGAGATAAGGAGGTCTTGATGCCGGAAATCTTCTTCAAGATGGGACAATTAGATCTGGATGACGATCTGTGAAACTCAAACTGGCAAGGAGGAATCCGACGGCTTACCCCAGGAAAGGAAAACAAACCCCCAACAGGCCTCGGATTCCGCGCCTGGTGCTACAGCGGAATTGCAGGGGGATCCTTGAGCTGAGCTTTTGTTTATGGTGAGATCTGAGATGGATTGTACATATGTTATGCTTGTACCTTGTGTTCCTGCGTAGTGATGATATCTACATATAATTTAGAAGGAAGAATATTGAGTCAACAATATGATGTTGAGGGGATGTCAGTTACCGCAAGACAACACCGAGCAATCCTTCGACCGGACCATATAAGGAGCCCCAGCAGAGATAAAACAGCGCCCCCGGCCGCCGAGTCATCTCCGTCTTGGATCTATCTTTTTCCCTTTCTCTGTCCCCAACCGCCCCTCTTCAATTCTTTTTCCTCCTCTCCTTCTTTTTCTTCAACGTATTTTTCAGCCCAGGAGGATCGACCAAGATGAGGTATACTTTCTTTCTCCTTTTTATCCTCGTCAATTGCAATTTTTGTGGTCATTTAGCTAATGTTCCTCATCACATGTCGCAGCACCTTGTCATCTGAGAACATCAATGGGGTCTACATCCCCTCGGCCCTCCTCATCTTCGGCACCCTTATTGTGAAGAAGGAGTTTGTTCCATATGCGGTGGCTCTGGCCGCTGTCCTGGCTGGATTGAAGCTGTTCTCAGGCGGCAGCAGTACGTGCATCTGTCCTCCACCACATGACACTTCAATGTATTGACAAACAATCTCGCCTCGGCAGAGCCCAGAAAGGTCCTTAACCCTACCGAGTTCCAGGAATTCGTGCTCAAGGAGAAAACCGACATCTCGCACAATGTTTGCATCTATCGCTTTGCCCTTCCCCGTCCCACCGATATCCTGGGTTTGCCCATTGGTCAACACATCTCCCTCGCCGCTACTATTGAGGGCCAGCCGAAGGAGGTTGTCCGCTCCTACACTCCCATATCTTCGGACAATGAGGCCGGTTACTTTGATTTGCTGGTGAAGGCCTACCCCCAGGGTAACATTTCCAAGTACTTGACCACCTTGAAGATTGGCGATACCATGAAAGTGCGCGGTCCCAAGGGTGCCATGGTCTACACTCCAAACATGTGCCGTCACATTGGCATGATTTCCGGTGGTACTGGTATCACCCCCATGCTGCAGATCATCAAGGCCATTATTCGCAACCGCCCCCGCAATGGCGGCAACGACACCACCAAGATGGACCTCATCTTCGCCAACGTCAACCCAGAGGACATCCTGCTCAAGGAGGAATTGGACAAGCTGGTTGCTGAGGATGCGGACTTCAACGTTTACTATGTTCTGAACAACCCTCCTCAGGGCTGGACCGGTGGTGTTGGATTTGTTACCCCCGAGATGATCAAGGTTCGCATCATTCCTCAACACGTTAATTCATTGGTTCTCTTGCTGATACCCATACCCTCTCACAGGAACGTCTCCCTGCCCCTGCCAGCGACGTCAAGATTCTGCTCTGCGGTCCTCCTCCTATGATCAGCGCGATGAAGAAGGCTACCGAGTCGCTCGGTTACACCAAGGCTCGCCCTGTCAGCAAGCTCGAGGACCAGGTCTTCTGCTTTTAGAATCCGAAAACCCATGCGAATTACGATTTGCATACTTTCTCGTTCGAGTCTTACTTCCTTTATTACGCTTTGCCTTCTGAGAGCAGATGTCTCGGTCAGGCGTCCGCTCTTCCTATAGTATATGTCTGTGAAACTATTCGATAGAGCAGTCCGGCTGGGCTCTATGTCTTGTCTACTGACATTGGGTGCGGACTACGATCTTTTTACAGGAAACAGCTCCATGAGTCAGCGATTAGATCAAAAGCATTGCGCGACCCATAATGAGAGCCGCGGCACTGTTATATTAGCATGAACTACGATTATGATGTGTATCTAGGTACTAATATTTGTTCATATCGTCGTTGTGGCACTACTAGGATGATTCTCATATTCTCAAGATCGATGCACCTCCAATATCTCATCCACCATATGCAAGAATTTCTTTCGGTATTCGTCTGCCGTCGTGGTGATCGTCATAGGCCCTTGACGCCCAATAACATTAAAAGTCTGCACCACTCCGGTCATCGCCTGCGCATGCAGCTTGTGTTTCGCCCAGAAGAAATCCAAGATTACCGCACGATACTTCCACTTCCCATCAAGAGACTGGAATCCTACGCGCCATGGGTTTTTCTTTCCCACCACGCCGGGATTGGAGGACGCAGGGTAACGGATCAGAAAGAGTGAATAGTCAACCGCATTTGATGACTGAAGGAAGTGAGTGTCGGCTTCGAGTACTTTTCTAAACCTTTCATAATCCGACTGCTGCATGTGTATCTTATCCTCAAACTTATCGGCCAGCCTAGTCAGGGTCTCTTCGCTGACCAACGGATCTGGTAGTAAGTCCCGCTCGGGGTAGAAGTAGTCGATCGGTTTCAAATCATATGTCTCCCAGTCGTCCTTGGCAGAGTCCTGGTTTTTCCCGGAAAGCATATTCTCCATGATGATATGATGGGCCGGCGTTGTCTTCAAAATGCTTCCGATGGTTCTGTACGGCGCATACACATAATCTGTGATCCAGACCAGAATGGAGTCTGCATGAGTGCTCATATACTCGTAGTACGGTTCGAGGAGGTCTTCTCGGAAGAAGGAGTGTTCGAAGTGTCGCGGGAGACTCTTGATGAGAAACTTGGAGTTGGATGTGGAGAAGAATGTCTAGGCCATGTTAGACTCAGAACCGCTCACCCTATGCTATTTCCTAGCCAACATACTGATCCAGACAACCCTAAATCCCCCATCGGCTTCAATGGTAGGGTCTTGTTCTCGCTGCGGAAACACGCTTTGTACTCCTCCTCGTCGATTTCCCAGACATCATTGCGAAGCTTGCGGAACAGTTCGTCGCGGTACCGGATGAGTCTGATATAGAAGATACTGAAGAATGCCAAGATACGTCCAAGTAGTGACTTGCGAAAGGCTTTCGGGTCGCGAAACAGCGCAAGCTGGATGGATTTGGCTAAAGCCGACTGACGACGACTACCAGTCATGGTTGCAATGGTGGCTGCTTAATCGTATAATCAGCCAGTGCGGCATTGTGGGTGATATATTCTAAGCATCGTGAAGATGCTCTTGTGCCATCGGCAGCAGGTTGTTGAAATCTGGTGACGTCAGTAAGGTAGCGAAGACACTTGCAACTTGCGAGTAGGGCTCAAATAGCACACGTGATATTTGGAGGAATGATCGGCCGTGACTGTTGAGTCACCGCCTTGGGCAGAAGCTGAATTGCCGCTTTGAGTCAACGAAAGAAAAGTTGTTCCCCTCTCGAGGCTTAAGATTCCCCTCCGTCTATGGGTCGCTATCTGCTTAGCGGGGCCCGGCGATTTTCAAGCGACATTTTTCAGACTGTTCGATCCTACAGTCCACAGCAAAGTCGCTTTCCTTTCTACTTTCGTGCTTCTACCGATCTTCAATTTAATACCCCACGTCCGTCCCTCTGCTCTCGAGCCTTCGGTACCTCCGCTTCGCTGGCCGCGCTCTCCGGGAAACCCTCGAAATTAGTTGCAGCTATGGCATCTGCCGCTGACCTTCCTGTCGCCGTTGAGGGGCTGACCATCCAGTCGACCTCTGAGACCTCCAAGTTCCCCAACTGCTACCCCTCGTTAAACCCTGTCGACCTCTACAGAGCACACATTGCGGAGAAGCTGGGTGCCGCAGCTGGCATCGAGCCTGAGAAGCTTTACTCCAAGCTGCAATGGACCAATACACTGGACAAGGGTGACTTGCTTCTGCCGGTACGAACAATGCGTGACCTACCAAGCTGCAGATAGGGGACGAGCGAAGGTTAACATAGGTCAATGTCTTAGGTTCCATCCTTACAAATCAAGAAGAACCCTCAAGAACTGTGCAAGGAGCTTGCAGAGAAGTTCCCCGAATCTGATCTGGTTGCGCCTCCTGTCCCATTTGGCGTCCATCTGCAGTTCTTCTTCAAGCCCGAACCTCTCACCAAGACCGTCGTTTCCCGTATTCTGAAGGAGAAGGCTACATTCGGTACCAATGGCAACCAGGGTTTGCGAGATCCCTTGGATCCTTCCAAGGGAAAGAAGAGAATCATTGTCGAGTTCTCGTCGCCTAACATCGCCAAGCCCTTCCATGCTGGTCACCTTAGAAGTACCATCATCGGAGGTTTCCTGGCGAACCTCTACACCGTTATGGGTTGGGACGTCATCAAGATGAACTACCTCGGTGATTGGGGAAAGCAATACGGTCTCCTTGCCAATGGTTTCAAGCGCTTTGGTAATGAGGAGGAGCTGCTTAAGAACCCTATCAACCACTTATTCGATGTCTACGTCAAGATCAACCAGATTGTCGCGGAGCAGGAGGGTCCTATCAAGGTTTTGAAGGACCAGATCAAGGCCAAGAAGGAGAAGAACGAGGATGTGACTGAGCTTGAAGCCGAGCTTGCCAAGCTCGTTGATGTTAGCGAGGACGAAAAGGCTCGTCGTTACTTCAAGAGCATGGAGGACGGAGACCAGGAGGCTCTCGCCCTCTGGCGGCGATTCCGCGATCTCAGTATCGAGAAGTACAAGCAGACCTATGCTCGTCTCAACATTGACTTTGATGTCTACTCTGGAGAGTCTCAGATCAAGAACGAAAGCATGACCGCCGCCTACCAGGCTATGGAAAAGGCTGGAGTTTCGGAGAAGTCCGAGGGCGCTGTCATCGTTGACTTCACCAAGCACGGCGCTAAGAAGCTCGGAAAGGCCATCATTGTCCGCAAGGATGGCACTCCTCTGTACCTGACGCGTGATATTGGAGCTATCATGGAGCGTGATGAGGCCTACCACTTCGATAAGATGATCTACGTGGTCGCGGCACAGCAGGATCTCCACTTGGCTCAACTCTTTAAGATCACAGAGCTGATGGGCCACAAGGATTTGGCCAGCCGCTGCCAGCACATCAACTTCGGTATGGTCCGTGGTATGAGCACCCGTAAGGGTACTGTCAAGTTCTTGGATGACATCCTGAGGGATGTTGCCGACAAGATGCACGAAGTCATGAAGGGCAATGCCGAGAAGTACGCCCAGGTCGAGAACCCCGAAGAGACGGCGGATATTCTGGGTCTGACCTCGGTCATGGTACAGGACATGACCGGAAAACGGTGCGTATATTTCGCTACTCGCCTTAGAGAGATTGAGCCCACGAAACTAACAGATTGCAGTATCAACGGTTATGACTTCAACCTCGATGCGATGACCTCATTCGAGGGTGACACCGGTCCCTACCTGCAGTACGCACATGCCCGTCTCTGCTCCATTGTCCGCAAGTCGGGCCTGAACGTTGAAGAGCTGGGCTCTGCCAACCTTGACCTCCTGACGGAGAGCCACGCCATCGATCTCGTCCGTCTGCTAGCGACCTGGCCAGATGTGCTGCTGAACACTACCAAGACGCTTGAGCCAACCACCATCATCACCTACCTATTCCGTATGACACACATCCTCAGCTCCAGCTACGACGTGCTCAAGGTTGTGGGAAGCGAGCCCGAGCTCAAGAAGGCCCGTATGGCACTGTACGAGGCGGCCAGGCAAGTATTGCACAACGGTATGAGGGTTCTGGGTCTCAGCCCTGTTGAACGGTACGTGATCACCTTGAATTTAGGAACAGGACATGGACTAACATTTTACCCTTTTCTCCAGTATGTAAATGGCGCAATAAAAGAGAATATAAATACTAAAATGAAGTCTTCTTATATCGCTGAATACCAAACATGTTCTCGCTATTGCTTATGAACTTGTCAGGCATCGACTCTCATGTAAGCATGCAAACCAGATATGCCAACGCGGTCCGAAGAAAGCTTGAACCGAGGCTTTGATTCAACGCAATAGATTGGGAGATCGAGACTTTTCAACCCTTTGGGGCAGCAATTCAATAATCCAAATGAACAAAGTTTAGCAGAAACGACGCGCAAGACAACCATAGATAGCGCAGTCCATCTTTCCGCTAATAACTGGAGACAATAGCGAAGGCCAAGACCAGATCGGGATTCAATTTCGCTCTGTTCCAGAACTGTGACCAACAGACTGCAGCGTTACATGCCGCTTACTGCAGAAATGCTCACGGCAGGCGCCATAACTGCCTAACGGTTCATTAAATCTGCGCAGCTAGCACTGCGGCTATGACCGAGACTACGTACTACTGTATTGTCTACCCCAAGCGTCAGCATTAGCGCCCTGTTGGTCGCTCAGCTGCTAAGTAATTGCTTTTTTTCTAAGTCGTGACTGTCCTCGAATGCACTTTGTGTGCCAGCGCGCAAGGTACATACATGCTGTACCACCCTCACCTCGAAGATCGGCATGGCAAGGGATATCGGACGAGATCAGCAAACGAATTTTCAGTCCGAGATACCGGGGTTCTCAGATTTGGGAAAGAATGAATCATCGACCGATAGATCCAGGTAATAACAAGCTGGTAGAACGGCGACTACCCAAGGGTTAAGTCACTCAGGGTGACTTTTCTGGCCCGTGCATTTTTCGGGGACCAATAACTAGTTACATAATAATGTCTTACCTAATCAATTGATAGCCTTAACTAAGTGATAGGGCTGGCACGGTTGGAATGGATACCTGAGGCTCCGTCGGCGTTTTCGGGGTCTTCGGGGTGAGTCCCGTCGTCCTACTATCAGCATTCCAGTATGGGCTGTGGTACTCCGTAGTATCAGTCTATCGCAGCTGCAAGAAAATCTATCGAATGTGGCTGCGAACGGTTGATCTCATCTCACGCCAGTCATTGGTTAATTGGCCTTTGAGGATTCATTCAAAATGTCATCACTCCCTCCGACTGTTTTCCTGAGTCCCTCTCTTCTCCTCTCCGTCTATACTTCCTACCCCCGCGAAGTCACCTGATTCAGTTGCTGTTCACCATGGACACAGATAGGAGCATCTCAGGGACGATCAGTCCCGATCTGGAGAGAAATGATGGAAACAAGTTTCTGGTCAATCATACAGTCCACAACTTCGCCTGGAATGACTTGACGGTCACCGTCAAGGACCGCCGGACGAAGCAGCCCCTCAACCTGATTGAGGGTATCAGCGGGAGTATCCATCAGGGTATGTAACTTCTATATCATTGCTGCTGTTAATGTGGATCATGGTACTGAGATTGGCCAAAAGGTGAATTGGTTGCTTTGATGGGCCCCTCAGGATGCGGCAAGACGACTTTGCTCAATGTGCTCGCGCGCCGGGCAGCTACATCGGGCGCGAAGACCACGGGGGAATGCTACGTTAATAGTGGGAAGCTCGACAATGCCACCTTTGGCCGGATCACTTCCTACGTGGAGCAGGAGGACGCTCTGATCGGCTCATTGACGGTGCAGGAGACGCTGAAGTTTGCCGCTGACCTTTCGCTGCCAGGGTATTTCCTTTCTTCCAATTATACTGTCTGTGGTACAAGGCTTACTAACAGGGGCTTGCAGCTCTGTTTCAAAAACGCAGCGGCGTGACCGTATCCAGACTCTATTGGAGTCTTTTGGTATTCAAAATCAGGCTGCGACGCTGGTCGGAACTCCAATCCGAAAGGGAATCAGCGGGGGTCAGAAACGGAGAGTAAGCGTGGCAAGCCAACTAATCACCTGCCCGAAGATTCTGTTTCTGGATGAGCCGACTAGCGGTCTGGACTCGACGGCGAGTTACGAGGTGATTTCTTATGTCAAGGAATTGGCGGTAGCGAGCAATGTAAGACGAATACCTTTACTGATTGGAGACAAGGCTGACGCGAGTCTCGCAGCTCATCATCATCGCAAGCATCCATCAGCCGTCGACGACCACCTTTCAACTCTTCGACAAGTTGCTTCTTCTGTCCAAGGGCAAGACCTGCTATTTCGGCCCCGTCCCCCATGTATCGACCTACTTCAACAGCATCGGCCATCCCATCCCCCCAAACACGAACCCCGCAGAGTTCATTCTCGACATTGTCAGCTCCGACTTCTCCGATGCCAAAGGAGCCAATGCCGTGGAGCGAGTGCAGCACATCCAGGAATCCTGGTTGCAGTCCGGCGAGCGGAGCGCCGTGAACGCCCACGTCTCGCAGTTGATTGAGCACCCCGAAAAGGACGGGAAGAGGATCGCGATGGAAGAGCTCTCTCGGCCGAACGCTGCGAGTATCACCTGGTCACTTTTGCACCGCTCTTTCATCAAGAGCTACCGCGACGTTGTGGCGTATGGCATCCGCATTGTCATGTATCTGGGTAAGTAAACATCCCAGAAATCATGCTCAGGAGTATGCTAACTCGAGCCAGGACTGGCCATCATGATGGGCACCGTCTGGCTACGTCTACATGAATCACAAGAGTACATCCAGCCCTTCATCAACGCAATTGTAAGTAATTCCTCGTTCTTCCTTCGAATGATGCTCACGTTTCGATAGTTCTTCGGATCCGCCTTCATGAGCTTCATGGCCGTGGCCTACGTGCCCGCCTTTCTCGAAGACCGAGCAACCTTCATCAAGGAGCGAGCAAACGGCCTCTACGGTGCCCTCCCATTCATGGTCTCCAACTTTATCATCGGCCTTCCTTTCCTCTGTACGTTTCCCCCCCTACCTCTTCGCCTCTACCCCTCAAACTAACTCTCACTCCCTCCAGTCCTAATCTCAATCCTCTTCTCCATCGTCGCCTACTGGCTTTCCAACTTCCGCCCAGACGCGGTCGCCTTCTTCAGATGGGTCATGTGGCTCTTCCTCGATCTCCTGGCCGCCGAATCCCTCGTCGTCTTCGTCACCTCCATCTTCCCCAACTTCGTCATCTCGCTTGCCCTCGTCGCCTTCGCAAACGGCCTCTGGATGAGCGTCGGCGGGTTCCTCGTCTCCCCGACGATCCTCAACCCCTTCTGGAAATATGTCTTCCATTATATTGATTATCAGGTACGCCCCCATCTGCAGAGCTGCGGAGCGCATGTTGCTGACCGCCGCTAGGCATACGTCTTCCAGGGTATGATGGTCAACGAGCTCTCGCACAGAACGTACTCCTGCGGCCAGGGGTGCAACTGCATGTACCAGACCGATCTTGCGTCGCAGTGCCGCATCCGAGGAACGGGCGTGCTCGAAACGTATGGGTATGCGACTGGGCGGACGGGGAAGTGGGTGGGGATTCTGATTGGGATTATCGCCGTGTATAGGCTTTTCGGGTGGATTGTCCTGGTTCTGAGACGGAGCTGAGCCTGTTTGCAATTATATTGAGGGTCTATGGTCTTTTCTTGGTTCGTCTTCTTCTCGTCCTTCGTTTACCGTCTATATATAGATTTTCTCTGGGTTGGTGGGATTGTAGATTAGTACTTTTTTTAATTGGGGTCAGAATCAATCTTTGGATGTGATGCTTTGAATGAATCGTATTGAACATAGAATGCATTAATTGGCTTCTACAGACCTGTCGCTGGTATGATCGTATCAAAGGACCGGTTGTCCGGTCTTGTGTCAATGCGAAGAGCATTCGAAAGGGATGACCCTTTGGAAGGGGTCGAAATAGAAAAGTACATCGCGGTCTCGAGGAGAAAAGCCGAGCATCCACCAACTACGAGTGAAGTCGGACCCTCAAAGGAAGCAAAATGAGGAGAAGAAAGGTACAGGTATCGCTAATGGGACATGAAAATTCGAAAGTAAATAGTCATTGCCGACGAACAAACAACTCGGGGTATACCTTCTCCGTCGATTCTAACTCGTCCTCAAATGCTGATAACCAAGACAGACAAAGCAAACAGGCAGACAGGCATGAAAAGAAAACAGGTGAGGGTCATCCAAGGAGATTATACAAATCAACGGCACTCGCAGAGGGGCATGACGAAGCATAAACATAAAAGCATCAACATGAATCATTGCACGTCATCAGAATCGTACAATCATTTCGCCGTGATGGGCGTGATCGGTCGGAGTCAGTTGACACCATCCCTCCTCTTCTCGCAAACAAACAGCAAAAACAAAGAGCCGCCCTTTTATCCAAAAGAAATAAACACGGAATTGCAATGAGATCTTTTCGAATCATCAGCGAGCCTTCCCACTTTTTCGGTCAAAATGACAAGCACGGGCGGATCGCAGATGCTCGGCGATCGCGGTGATTCCCGTGGACCCATTTTTTCTTCCCGTAAACAAAGCCCGACCCAAAAGAAAGTAGAGAAACTTTTTATAAACTGCTTCACGACCTGTCCCTAGCAGAGTTGAGTCTTTGCAAAAGCATGGACCTCGAGGAAGTAAGCAATTCGAGAGAGGAAGAAACGTCTAGATGTGAACTCAACCGAGAGAAATGACAAGAAAAAGCATCAGAGCAGTAACAACGGGCATCAAGGCACAGTGGCCTAGTACCGTCCGCTGTATGTCGACCGACTAGATCGATGACTAGCCTTGTCGGACCGCCGGTCACCTCGGGGACGCCGCGGGTCTTCCAGTTCCCTTCGGGAAACGCTGCCAGTATAATCAGAGCCGCCGGTTAGATACTTCTTCGGTCGCTTCCCCTCGATGTTCAGCTCAACCGCTCCCGTTTCGCCCGTCCGGACGCTGATACGCTTTCCCCCGACAGACTTTTGAGTGAAACTCATGGTCACACCATTCATGGTCATGACAATGTTATCATCTTCCTCCGGCTTGGCTTCGCCGCTGCTACCATTTTGAGTGCGAGCATCGCTGCCTCGGCTGCTACGGCTCTTTTGACTTCCGCTGTCGCTTTCCGCACGCTGCGATGATTTGGCTTTGCGCAGGGCATCCGCTGTAAGTGGCACCGCTACGGCTTTGCCTGACCTCGACGCCTGATACTCTTCTGCCTCTCGCTGCTTATCCTCGATATCGCCGCCGGGATTGTAGTCGTAGACTGTTGTCCGTTGGCGACGAGCACCCTCGATGGCAATTCGGGCCGGGCGCGCGGAGTCATGATAGGACGTAGAGCGTCTGCTGCCCCTCAGACTCTGGCTTCGCTCGGGAACAACGGTCTCGCGTGATGACCGTCGGTATCCGTAGCTCGGCAGCGCGTCTTCCATCTCGGATAGATCAAAGGTTCTCGATGAGCGGCGCTCCGACGTGACAGACGTGGTTGTTGCTGACTTGCGTGGAGGTTCGGGGCGCTTCTGAATGATGTGCGGCCGGGCATTATTTTTGATCGGCGGAGGTGGCATGCGATAATAGTCTTCATCGCGATGGTGAGACGAATGAGAAGGAAGCCGCGGTCGGGGCTGGACGGGAGGAGGAGGTGGCGGTTCAAGTAGTTGCTCGTCTTCGCTCTCATCGACATCTTCTTCATCATCGTCGTCATCTTCGCTCTCGTCGTAAGGCGGGGTGGGAGGCACATGATCCACGACAGGTGGCCCATAAAGAGAAGGGCGCCGTGCACGCGGCTGCTTCTCTCCGGTCTTGGAGACCGATCGCTCCTGGTGGTGGTCAGTTAAAGGAAGAGCCGCAAACTCCTGTACTCCATAATATGGAGACGGTTGGGCATAATGCGAGGCTGCATAGGAGGGGCTATTGGCATAAGCGGATGAGGACAATGGAGGTCCGGCTTCGTAGCGACTCATAGGAGACGGGGCATACACCATGGCCCCCATACCCGGCATCATCCCATGAAAGCTCGACGGACGAGCATTCGAGTGATACGAATTGGAGCGACTGGAACGGGCGGAGGGACGGCTGCTGTGAGAGACATGAACGTCCTGGATGACCGACGGGGGATATCGGGTCTGTGGTGATGGCGGTGGCGGAGGATAATCATGGATTGACGGCGGCGGTTGCGAGACATAGTAGGGATGTTCGATCCGTCTCGGTTCAACTGGTGTCGAGGCATGATAAAATCCTTGATCGCATTCCCAGCAGGTTCCTGGGACGTGACGCACATGAACACTGTCTCGTCGTCGGGGTCTGGAAGGGGACCGCTGAACTGGAGCAGCAGCGTAATGGCTGGAACTGGGATAGGTTCCGACCTGCATCTTGTCGTCACGCACAGGGCGTGCGGGCTTTTCTTTTGCACGATCTTTGCGAGAGGAGCGAATTTTGTCAAGGTCGGCTCGCTTGAGCGTGGAATCGAGTTTAAGAGGGACAGGGCTTTTCCGGCCCGACGGGCCAGATTGGGCGCTATTGACGGTGGCGGCAGTGCGACTGGAGTATCCTGAATCACTGGCACCATCAACCAAGGGCTCAGGTCGAGATCTCAGGTCAGCCTTGGAGCGTTTTGCAGCGATGTGAGCGACTTGACGAGTTTCGGGGAGAATGACATGTGCGTCTTCGTCGTACTCCTCACAGAAGGCGGCATGAGGCACTTTGCCAGTCATGACTTAAGGGCAATGGCCAAGGCCCAGGTTGGGTCCCTAACTAAGGGGGAGGGGGCTGGTAAGGGGAGGACACAGTGGATGACGTGAAACGTGGTGATCCAGCAGGCTTCGGATTGCTTAGTCGATTAACAGGAGCCACCACTGCTGCTCATTCAGGGTGACTCAGATAATTTTTTTTTTTCTTTTTTCGAATTTTCTCCCTTTTTTTTACCCTTTCGCCTTACCCAATATGGGTAATTTGGTAAATTTTCCGCTTCGTGGTTTGTTCCTTCAACCCACTTTCTGCGATGGTCCGAAAATGTAGGAGGTCCTGCAGGTCTGGCAAGTAGTAGAGTGACGGCGCGCGTCTAGATCGCAGTCTGTCAGCGACGGGCAGTGGATGCAAAGTGGCAGTCGTCCTTCAAAGCCTGCAATGTCTCCATCGATGAATTTTTTTTTTTCTTCTTCTTCTTTTCTTTTCCTTGAGAAAGAAGCAGACAGCGAGTGAAGCTGGCGTTGGTTGGTTCGACGCACGAAACTATCCAGGTGGTGGACGGAAGAGGCGGTGGGTCGACAAGCAGAGAGACAGCAGCAGATACAGAGTGGAAACGGAGACTGACGGGAGAAAAAGAGGAGAAGTCTGTAGTCAAAGTTCTGGCGAACGGTGAGTGGAGGACTGGCGAAGAAAAAGTCGCCTGGCTGCAGAGTGTAGATGCAGACCAAGCGTGTAACCAGTAGTCTGTCCTAGTAGTGTCTACCGGTTGGGTGTTCGTTTCTTCCCTGGTGATCGGGCCCTGACAAGTCGACGAGTAGATAGAGGACTGTACTCCGTAGTAGGCTTCAAGGTGGGGTTGGGACGCAAAGAAGAAAATGTGGTGAACTAGCAACTGTGGAGAATGGAGGAGAAGAGACAAGATAGGTAGGTGGACAGAAAGAGGAAGACAGATTGACAACGCGATGGAACAGATCCAGTCAGGATGAAGATACGTATATTATTGGGTAGAATGGATAGGTAGAGTAACCACAAAGAGAGATCTGAAAAGGACCAGAAGAAGACTGACAGAGAGGGGAAAAAGAGAAGAAGGAGAGGAAAAGAGGCTGCAAGGACAAAGATACGCGCAGATGGACACAAAGTCTTTTTAAGTCGTCGTTACCCAACAGAAGAAAAATAGTGAGCAATATTAATAAATAAATAATCATAAAAGCTGATCGTGAAGAAACGGAGAGAAGAAAATCATCATCATCAAAAGGCAGAAGTATATCCTGGAGGGACGAGGGGATTTTTCCTGTGCCTTTTCTTTTGCTTTTTGTTCTTCTTGACCAGTGATGATTGAGAATGAAGAAAATGATCCTCAACAATAAGGTCTCTTTACTATCAACAGGAACTGTGGAAGTACGGAGTCCGTACAGAGTGCTGTAATCACTTGAATTCTCAGCAAGGTGGGGAGGCGTTGGAAGAGTGAGTGGCGGCCGAACGATGCCTGATCTGCCACTAACTAGGTATATTAGATTAGAATGCTCTTAACATATCTCGAGGACAGAGAGAAGAATTTGAGACGATGAGACTATGTCTATCGATATCCTAGATTAATAGTTTGTTATAGTAGTAATATCAGAATACTCGATACTATCTATCTCTTATTTAAAAAGGCCCCTCGTCCTGCTCTGCTGTTCGAACTCGATATGCTTGTTGATATACGTTACCAGCAACTGCCTGGATTCTTATCCCTTCTTTTGTCAAGGTTACTGAAGCATCTACAGTTGAGTCAGTCGACAGTCATAATCTCCATCAGGCAGAACTCAGCAGAAGACTGCTGTGTACAGGCGATTATTCCATTGGCCCGTTCCAAAAGACATTCCGATGCGGCACAGAATGAGCATGGAAGACCCAGGATCCATGGTGTTGACAGTCATATTGTCATACTACTACTTACT